TCATGTCTCACAATCATATATAATAACTATGAATGAGTAAAAAATTATAAGATTTAATTCCCCTAATTAGGAAGGGTTTGTTTATCCTTCAATAAACAGTAGTTATTTACTTCGATGCAGCAATCACAACACTTCTACAAATTCGACGGTGTAACAAGCAATCCTACACAATTTAGTGCAATTATTCTTATATATTTACTGAATTAAGTCCAAACAAATCGATCATTATTATTATAACTATTATTTATTAAATTATTATTATCATTATCATTATGTGTGTGTGTGTGTGTGTGTGTCAAAGAATAAAGTCATTATCATTATGTGTGTGTGTGTGTGTGTGTGTGTGTGTGTGTATCAAAGAATAAAGTAATAATAATATAGAATAATGTCTTGTTTGTCTTGATGGGGAAGAAAAAAAAATGATTTCTAAATTAAATTTTGTGAAATTCACATACATCAATGTACCCAAATTCTTTTGCAGAACCTGGCCAATTTATTCAATGGGCTGAATTAGCCTTCAACCTAGCTAAACCCAAATCAGATGTAAAACAAAATAAAATTCTAGGCTTGAATCTGACGTAAGGGTTAATCAGGTTGACCAAACAATTTGAGCAATTATATCAATTTTTTTTGTAGAATTTAGAAATCCAATTATGTGTAGTAATTAGGTAGTATCTTATTCTCTAATTTGTAATTAGTTAGACTTTATTAAAAACCTAATTTCAGATCAAACTTGATAAAAAAAATTAATAAACATGCTAAAAAAGAATTTGTAATTCTACCCATACTTGAGCTCTGTTCAAATTTATAAAAATAAAATAAATAAATAACTAAATAAAAGAGCTCGAATAATCTCATATTTGACTTAACTCAATTATTTGAGCAATTATCTCTCTCTCTCTCTCTCTCTCTCTCTCTCTTTCTCTCTCTATTTCTCAATGTTTGCCATCCTTTTAAAAGAATTCAAAAATATTGAATGGTTATAATTTATTGGAGCAACAACATTTATTAGATATTTTATATAATACCAATAACTTTTAACTCTCCTAAAACTTGATCATTCAAAATTTGGGGGAGTTAATTATATAGCACTCAAAATATTAAAAGCACGCATATTAAACAATTAAATTTTGCTAATTACATCATTTAGCGCTCTTATCTTGTCATATGCTTAAAGATAACTAGTATTATAACTCGTTAAATTAAAATAACTAGATATTATTAGATGCATGTGTAAGAGGCTGATAATGATTAGGAAGAAGACTAGAATCAACATAAACCAGATTGGGTTAAGAAGAGACCAACTAAGATCAAGAATATATTGCTTATGATAAAAAAAAAAAGAGCAACTAATTGTCCCCTTCCTAATTATTAATTTCAAACAACCTCTTCATGATCTAAACTGTCATCTTTATTTGAGCCAAGGTGACCTCTGTGCCCAATCTTCGTAACCTCTTTCAGGTCCTTTTTTTGGCTCATGGGCATGAATAGGATCAAAAGCACAAAGGAGACTCGGCATAAGAAATCATAAATTTGGGTTACACAACTAATTAACATCGACTTCAAACGAGAGCTAGACCACATGATTGAGACAAAAGACATAAGGAAAATGCTTTGGTAGGAATTTAGTTGAGATTAAAAAAAATTGAAAATTAAATCCACGCATATTATCAAGTCAAACCAAAGCAAGTATGGTCCCCAAATGTCCATATATATTATGACCACATTAATATATGTGCCAATTGTTCTTGAGGTTCATGTCAGTCTTTAGCCTACTTTTACCATATTAGTGTAACATTGCACATTAGTGGCTTTGATAGTTCATCACTATAATTCAATGGATTTAAGTGCATGATATCAGATACCACTGAAAAATTTTCATTTAAAGGCATGTGAAAGCCTTTAAATTTAGTCCCACAGGAGATAATTTCCAAATAATATGGCCTCAAACCTTAGCATTAAAATTGAATTTAACCACTTATACATTGGGCACTGTTTAAATAAATCCTAAGCTCAAGTCACCTCTAACCATTGCTCAATACATCAACTCCCTTTTATATTATCTCATTTATTAGTTGATTTTGTCAATATTTTTTTATTGATAATAGACACTACAGGTAAAGGCAGTATGATCGATGGCATAACCGACGGTTTATTGTGCCTCACAAATATCATGTGAAGTTCTCACGACTTAACGATAGATAATTATTTTTTTAAAATTTTTGACAGTATTAATACTCTCAAATCCGACGCTTCTTCGTAGAAGGAATTAGACTCATCGACATTGTATTTCGCCGATTACAGTCTAAAATAAAATCGACTGTTGCCACTCATTACTAAGCCGTTGGAAAGCATCCTCCTGCAACTCCTCTTCCCTCTCCCAATTTCACCCTAAATCCCTTCCCCTCCTCCTCTCCCGGCAACTCAACTCTTCCTCTCACGGTTGCACTTGCCACCATCATGGCTTAAAGTGACCACCAAAACCTTGAGCTACGGGATCGCGACTTACAGAAACAACCGAATCCCTCATCTTTCCGCTCCGCCCTTACAGCAACCATTGAGTAAGGTATGATTGATCGTGCCGTTTCTTCCTCTCCGCTCGTTCCTCCTCTCTCGTTTTCAAACTATTTTTTGTAATAGTATACAAACAGTCACCACTCTAGCTAGCTGGGAAAACAACTGTGTGATCGTGGCTTACAGAGACCACCATCTTTCTTATCCTTCCGCTCTGCTCCTACCTGAAACCCATCAGGAAAGCAAGCTTGCTCGCCAAAAGGAAGTTTGCTTGCTCCTACCTGAAGATTTACATACATACCACTAAATTCCTATGTATTTATATATCTAAAACTTAAACTTTGTATTTTAATACAACTTTTCATGTACATGTAATGTGGCATGTATGCCAAAAATGGGATTTTAGGTGTCAGATATGTAATTACATAAGAATTGAGAATAGAATTTCCTGACTATATCTCGAGACTGGCAGACTATCTAGTCTTATAGTAGGCAAAATTAAACTATAAACTTCATTTATCAACTTGGGATTAGAATTTCTTTAATTTGTTTGGTTGAATTTGGTTGTTTGACCTTGTAAATCTTTAAAAGTTGAGAGAGATGATTTTGAATTCCCTAGTTTTGATTGAGTCAACGTTGAATTGAGTACCAATTCCATAGTTTAGAACCACCTAATGCTCTAAAAGTTAAATGAGTTCGCCTTTCTATTTGAGCATCGAGTACTAAGCTCAGCCCAAATCCAGTTCCTCAATTAATGTTTATGTTTATTTAACACATAAACAATTCTTATGTATTTACATATTTAACACCTAAACTTTTAGTAGGATCTGATCTGGATCGGGCTTGGATCGGATTGGAATAACAATAAACAAGCACAAGGCATGTTCAAGTTGGATCGATCTTGGTCACGAGCCAGAAATTACATTCAAGCCGACTTGTTTACAATTTGAGACAGCTCCGAAATGAGTTAATCCACATTAGATCAGAACAAATTTTAGTAAGATTAATCCACGTTCTGATTTCACACGTAGGGTAGGTATGTGAAGTCAGGGTTTAGTGTTTTTAAAGTCTTATGTTACAAATGTTAGAAACTTACGGATTTTAAATTTTATGTTATACATGTGGTACGTTGGGTATGTCTGTGAATTTAGCTCGAACAACGATATTTGCTCGAAAATTAATCTCGGATCGAATTTCTTTCGAGCCGACCACAACTTCCGGATACCGTTGACCACCATTGGCTATTGCCTACTCCTTATGGCAATACACTGTGAATCTCAAAGCAACTACCGAATCGTGTTACCACCGAAAACAGTACCCCGAATCTCCACCACAATTTCGACCATCGCTACCTGCCAACTCTGGCCGCTGCAGCCTCTTCCGGTCAAATTCAGCCACCGTTTCCTCTAGCGACTCCGGTTGTCACCTCCTATGACTGCCGCCTCTTGCTAGCTTCGACAGCCACCTCCGGCCATCTCCAACCGCTGTTTGATTGCCATCGTCGACCACTATCAACAACGGCTCGCTTCTTAGGTCGAAACACTATGTGAAGCAACCACCGACACCATGAAATAATGTAGAAACCCAGGAGTCAATGCATCAACCCAAACGTAGTGCCACCCTTGAAGATGGTTTCCTACTACGGAGCAACGAGTTTTTTTGTGCATGAATGTTGTAACTCAAGAAACTATGTAACCCTCTTCAGCATGCAGAACAAAAAGTTGTACATGTAATCACAAAGTTATAATGAAAACATTTAACTAAGCAAGGCCCCATGACTTTTTTTCATTTTTTCTTGTTTTTCATGCAAAGACTTCTAGTGTCTCCCTACTGATTATCTATTTTTATCTGTGTTAAATTTTCATGCAACCTTAAGACAATAATTTATTACTCGGCTACCGTGAATTTCTTATCACACATCAAATTGTAATTTAGTTAAGCTTACAGAAAAAGTCAAACCAATGCTAGCATGGGTCGCTAATGTCTCCACCATTACTCCACTAACATCCCTGCCAATTGTTCTTCAGTTCACGTTAGTTTGCAGCCATCTTTACCATAGTTGTGTAAAAGTTAACTCTTGGCTTAAATAGTTCATCACTATAATTCAGTGGATTTTAAGTGCATGATATTTGATGCCATTAATTGTTTTTTTTTTTCATTTAAAGGATATTGTCACATTTTTTAATAACATTTAAAAAAATTAAAAAAAAAATACAGCCCATTATTTATTAAAATCAAAACACTAATTCAAAATTAACAAAAATGAAAAAGAAGCATTTACATACACACCACATAATTCTTATGCATTTACATATTTAAAACTTAAATATTCATATTTACACCCAAATCTTTCACACAACATCAAATATTTCAACATCACTTTCTTTCTAAACATCATGCATGGATTCACGACACCAATATTTTATAAGTAAAAATATAAAATTTCAGGCCAAGATAACTAAATACATAAGATATCTAAAAACAATTGATCCAGATTCATCAAATGGCAACAAAGCCCAAAGCATAAAGTTATAATTAAAAAGTTTGCATACTGAAGAGAAATAATGTACATAACATAACAGCAATGGCTTAGTTTTTAACAGTTCTGGCAAGCAGAAGAAGTCAATACCCGAACCGATTCGCCCTGAAGCCTCTTAGAAGCCCTTCTAAACACTTCAAATGACTCTAGGATCGCATCTGGTGCGCTCTTGACTGCCCCTCTCTCTCTCTCTTTCTTCTTCTTCTTCTCTTAATCCATTACACTAATCTTTAAATTTTAACTTAACACTACTCGAAAACTAATTTATTGGAACATAATTTTTTCACCAAAAGATTCAAAATGACCAAAATGCCCTCACAACATGTGGGAGTTTAATGGAATAGTGAGAAATGATAGTAAGGGTATTTTAGTCATTTTGAAACATAGCCCCTTGGGGCGGCTACTACTGTTGTTCTAAACTTGGGGGAGCAACAGTTGACACACTTCCGGCGAGCGCGTTGCTGATCTGGTGCACCGCGGAGAAAAGATGGTGGTTGACGGCGGTAACGCTGGAAAGATTGAGTTTGGCAGAGGGGACGGCGCTCGCCAGCACCTGCATCCCGACTGTGAGGAGACAGCCGACGGGGACGGAGTTGTTTGTGGCGGTGTTGGAGCACGAAGCAGAGGCCGGTTGTTCTGCAGGGAAAAGGACGAAACCGGTGGGGAGAAGGGGAATGTAGGATGTATCCTCACCGTTCGTCACGAGTTGAACGGCTCCGACATCGATTGTCGCGTAGACGATAAGGCTGCCGCCCGAAGGGTGTGTGCGGCTCTCCTGTAGAAGCAGCTCCACCTTCTGGGAGGAGTTGCTCGCGGCCTACATGCCACACATGAAAAAAAAAGTTAAATTTTTTTTAACAGAAGATTATCTAAGTCTAACAGCTAAACATTGGCTTTTACATTTATATCAACTCAACATTTTTATAATTTTTTGTAAACATAGAAAATATGAAAAATATCATCATTTTAATTTAAAAAAAAAGTAAAATGGACCATTGGACCATTTCATGCATGGATAGAATGAAATATACATACATATATATGTATGTATATATATATATATATATATGCGGGTACACATGTTTTAAAATTGCTTCATGTATTTTGGTTTTTTTTTTTTTTTTTTTTTTTTTCCGGGTGGAGTTGTAATGCGGAGACAGGAACCCTATAGGTAGTTGGGGATCCTCTATCTCAACATCAAACTCTGTAACTTTTACTTTAATTAAGGCGTAAGGAGCCACGAGTTGCTCTTTTTATCAAATATATATATATATATATATAATTGAAGTTTGGGTGAGATATGTAAATTATGTTTACAGTTGATTTGGTGCGTTTTATTTCTTTTCATTAATTATTCAACAGATCTTTGGAAACTTTAATAAAAAAAAAACATATTTGCTATGTGTTTTATAGTTCTATATATATATAACAAAACAATGTATTTTAAAAATTTGTAGACTTTGGCTTCTTCCAGAAATAAAAGCGTTTGGTTTGACTGTTTAAGATGAATGGTAAGTTGGTAACCCTAAAGGAAAAGAGCCCAGGGCTAAGGGTTTCTGAACCCCAAAAGGAAGAAGTAATGCAACAGCTAGGTTGGACTCTAGGAATCAATCAAGAGCTCATTTAATATGGCATCATTGACAAGTCTGCTGCGCCATCCTCATTTTTGTCTACTATTTATTGGTGAAACATTAATTACCGTCAATAGAAAGCAGTTATTATGGCTTTAATAGCTTCTATTTTGATGCCTGTTTTCTATCAATAGGTAAAAATGCAGAAAATTTTCATCTTTGTGCCTGAAAGATTACACTGTACATGATATTTTTTCCAGGAACTATAGGCAATTAAGAAGCAATGGCGGATGAAATTAAGAGAACAATTCCAAACTTCTAGTTCATGTTTAGAAGCCAATGATGTACAAACTTGATATTATGATTCAGCATAAAAAATTTCCATAGAAGCATGATTCTTCCTCTAATGTTTTCTCAAACATAAACTGCAGGTCATATAGGCACACTGCATAACAGTGTCTGAGTTCTAAGGGTAATTAATAATTTCAAATTTTCATTTAAAATCTTAAATTATTGATGAAAATTAACCTTAAAAAGCCATGAAAATAGAAACTTACATTTACGCGTAGAAGAGACACGCAGTTCTTAGGATGCGAGCCATTTGCAATATGATCAATCTCGTGCAGAGAGTTTCCGCTCGACAAAGCGTCCAGCTGCACGTAAATCAATATATGAAAAATGTTTAATTCAAATATACAAAAGCTAGGATTTTTTAACCCTTAACTAGCCTTCAGCTAACAGAACTATATATATAATAGCTAAAAGCTTCCAAAACAAGTCGTTAAAACAGAAATTGCTTCACAAACTTCTTTTTTTATTTTTTTTATTTTAGTAGTTAAAACAGAGACTAATATTTAGAATATATTTCATAGCTTTGAATGACATCTTCATGTGTAAAGCTAAACTTCCAAGAGGGTTTTTACATGTCATCAGCTATACATTATTTTTTTCAAATGCTGAATAAAAGGTTACAGCATTACGTAACCTAATGAAATTCAAGCCAAAGTCTGTACAATCACAACTTCTGAATAAAAGGTTTAAGGGTTAGATATGTAAACACAGAAAAATTGGGCAAGTGTATGCAAAAGCCCCTTTTTTTAATATAAATCTCCTACTTTTAACTGTAAAAATAAGAGATTGATTGATCCTTAGATATACCTGAGACCTTCTCTGCTGATCGGTCAAGAGATCGAAGACTTGATGGTAAGAAAATGGAAGCCATGCGGTGGATACTGCGGACAGAATAACACCATTAGGCTGCCCCGGCAAAGTATTTTTTCTGGTCGTTACTCTAATTGTATCATCTGGTGAATCAGAAAGCGCAGTCCATGATTGTCCTCCAGATGAAGTAATACTAGCATAGAAGGTCCTCACCATTCTGTGTGATAGCTTTATTATGTTCTTCCTTCCCTCTGGTGTGGAGATTACTGATAATACAAAGTCAGCAAAAATTTATATTTTTTTTAAAAGATTGAATTTTGATACTCTAGGAAATGTCAGATGGGGGAATATTACCTCCCAGATCTGAAATATTTGTGGCCATTAAAGCTGCTAACCGTTCGCACTGTAGCTGTAAAGCCGATAGCCAGCGAGTTGCTCCAAATCCCATTCCACTGTTAACGAACTGAGAAAATATTTGGTGTATTGGCTTATCTTCCACCTCTGCTTGTTCTATCCACGTCACCTAAATAAAAAAGTTAAAATGGCCATACATCAAAGCTTCGTTTGTTAAACATTGTACTGTTCTTTTTCCGCAAGAGCATTACTGTGATGATTTTAAATTATTATTATGAGATTAAGGATGAAGATGAGAGATTATTTAGAAGCAAGGCAGTAAAAACATTACTAAACAAAATTGTTTTGAGCTAAGATTGCAGCGAATTGAATGTTGGAGATAAGAGGAGTTAATGCTAAATTGCAGAGCTTGTGGTTCATGGAGGGTACAAGTGTTGCGTTCGGCCCCAAGCCATTATAGGCCTCACTAAAGACATGTTCAGTACGCAGTAAATATGAATGTAAAGGCATTAATGTGCATTGGTCAAATAATATATTCCCAGTTTATTAGAATATAAGTTTAAACCCATATTTATATATATATACTGATCTTATGTTAAGAAACATGAAAAAGAGCAGAGAGTTAAGCTGTTTAATTAAATTAATTGTTGTGTGGTTCTTTAAGCATGTTTGAATTGTCCAACACTTGGCATAAAGTATAATAAATTGGATCTGCAGAGAATAACAGTAGAGACAAAACACTATTTTTCTTTGGGCTAGCCTTTTTGCTATTCTATTTTTTTCAGAATGTTATCACATTATTTGTTTGGCTTTTTTTTTAATTATGATCTGCAGATTTTTGTGAAGAGAAGCAACTTTTCAAAAAGATCAAAGTTTTTATCTGGCTTAAAAAAAAAAAAGAAAGAAACGAGTTATATTACTTAGAACAACAGTTAGAAAAGTGACTTTTTTACAATAGCTCCTCCACAGCTACTTCTACAATGAGCTGCAACCTGCTTCCCTCCTCTAAGGACTCATTGGTTACGTTTAGAAAGTAAAAGGGTTTTACAAAATAAGTGTTGTCAGAATCAATCACTCAGTTGATTGATTGTAGTTAATTAGATATTTAACTTAGACTTCAAAACTAAAAACTAAAAATAAAGCTCTAGTTTTCTTGCTCAAATCAAGATATATATATATATTTATAGGAGCATTTACAAACATAGCACTTAATTCTTGTTTATTTACATATCTAAAACCAATATTTGCATATCTAAGACCTAAAGGTTAATTTTTATATATATATGTCACCTTACCTAAAAAGATGTATTTTAGGTATCAAAAGTTAAAATAATGATATTTCTTTTGTGATATGAAAGATTTGAGTTGTATAAATATAAAAAGAAGATTTTAGCTAGTGTTAGATATGTAAATACATAAGAATTGAGTGGTAGATATATAAATGCCCCTATTATTCAACATTCCATGCTCTTCAATAAAAAGCCAAGCTTTGGTGAAGTCAAGAAAAATAGGCCTGTTCACAACTTACATTTCTTGGAACTTTTAATAAATAAGCCTATGCTCAATAAGAATAATACTGCAACAATTTATTAAAAGATGAATAAAAAAACAATTTTGTTAAGAAAAAATACGCACCTTTGAGTATCCATTAGGCATGCTTTGGATGACGCAGCCGGAAGGCCTTCTCCTATACCGCATTAGGGGCATTTGTATAATATCCTGAAGATTGTCCACTGGAAAATCAACAATTGTCCACGTACCTTCTTCCACATTTTGCTGGCAATATCGAAAGAAATATGCCTCTCGTGTAGGCACCAGAGGTGAAAGAACCTGAAACTCTGCATACATCTAGCCCCCGGAAATAAATAATTAAGCTGATGAATCAGAGCTTGTGATGGGGCTCAAAAGTGATGAGAGTTTATAAGTTTGATTAACTACCAGGTGAAGAGAGCCGCTTCCATTACCAGGGAGGCCAGTTGTAATAATTTGAATTGTTTTTGCCTTGGATACAATAGAGGGGAACATTTCCAACCATTGATTCTGTACATGTTACAAAGGCCATTGAAGAATAATTTCCTCAGTTTGTGATATAAAACAATGCATGAATCATCATCATAAATATACTTCTGTAAATTCATCCATGAATTAATGTAAACAAAAATGTCATAAAATTAAGAAATTGTAAAGATAAATGATCATATGTTTGAGCGGGAGATACATAAACCTATAAAAAATAAGATTTTATTTAAAAAACTTCTAAAAAAAACTAGGATAAGAATAATCATGATGCCTACAACGAGAAGTTCGTGTCTGCTACCCCACACATAAATTTTCAGCCCCTACATTAAAATCATCTGACATGAGAAATAACTTAAAAGTCAACTCTACTGATAAAACGCAGAATTTCAGTCTACTGCTGGTATCAAACTTACAGCGTCCATGAATGCATCCACCAGAGTTATGCCGTTCATGATAACCAGCCCGGTATCTCTGGTCCCCTCCACCCTATACCCACCGCCACCCATCTGCTTCAATTCCATCGGCCATGGAAACAACCTTGCATGCTCTTCTTCATCAAGAAACTCCACCGCTCCCTCACCAACACCATTGCCGACTTTCTTCAACCAAAGAGGCTCATTCACCCGAGACATTCTCAGCATCTGTTCGGCGGCAGCCATGGCGAGCTCGAGAGCCAGAGGCTTCTTCCCTTCCATTATTAGCATGCCGGCGAAAGCAGAGTCCTCGTCGACGAGCCCGGAGCCGAGAAGCATATCGCAGCATGACCCCGCAGGGGGTGGGGGAAGATCGTGGAATTGTCTTGAGTATGCTCCCATGTCCAGGTCCAGTGATGGTGGAAGAAGCAGATTAGGTGATGAAGGTAGCAGGGATCGGCCGCCGCCGCCGCCCAACCTTCCGGCAATGCATGACAATCTATCGAGCTGTAAAGAGTTTTCATGCATACATCAAATAACAATAATAAAATAAGCTCAGAATATTTAATTTATATTACACAAATCTTAAGAAAATCTAAAAATTTTACAATTCACATCCAAAGGAAAGATGTAATATTTTGTCAAAGGTTAGATGGATGAATTGTCTTGATTTCGGGTTTTTACAGCTTGTTTGAGTTCGGAGACTGACCTCTTCCTTCAAGCGAGCGTTCTCTATGCGGAGGTGGTGCTCGTCAAACGACATTTCGCCGAGCATCGCGGGCCCGCCGCAGTTGGGGCAGATAACGTTGCGGATCGCCGCTTGCAGCCGGTAGTTCTCGTTCTTCAGGCTATCGTTCTCCGCTCGCAGGATCACGTTATCCGACCTGTCCTGTTGCGCCTGCGGAGCACCACAACCAATGTACAACCATGAGACTGATACATCTCCTTGGCCTCTCTCAAAGCATATCTTATTTTATTTTATTTTAGTTTTATAATTGGAAACCAGTAAAAATATATTTGTTTTCCAATTTTTTTATTTATATAGTATTGTTTTCCACACGTGCAAAACAAATTAAGAAACGCGTATTAGAACGGCGGATTAACATGCGCACCTTCATCTGTGTCCGGCGATTCTGGAACCAGAACTTCACCTGGCGAGGTTTCAGGCCAAGCTCCTGGCTTAACCGGAGCCGCTGTTTATCGTCCGGGTGCGGGCATTCCTTAAACAATCTGATTTTTTACCCGAAATGAAAATATTATTTACCTATTCTAGAAAAACTAGATGCATCCGAAAATTTTCTTTTTTCTTTTTTTTTTTTTTTTGGATTTTTAGTCTTACGCTTCCATCTCCTGGATCTGCCGTGAAGTGTGACGGTGGTAACGTTTCTTCTTCGCCGGAGCAGAGTTCGACGGCAACGTTAGAGGTGGCGGCGTTCCGTCGTCGTTCTCCTCGCCGCAGCTTAGTCCTTCCAGATGCCCGCTCCCGGAGGCGCTCTCCATCTCCTCCTCCTTCCGGGCCTGCTCCTCCTTCTGCAGCTGGAATAGCTACAGTATTTTTTTCTTATTTCTTCTAAAAAAATATAAAAAAAAAACGATTTTTGCTTACCGGCACCGTGGGAGGGAAGGAAGAGAAGGGCACAACGCCTGCCATGAAACCGGCTACGCTTCCAAGATTAGGGTTTTGGATCTGGGAGGAGAAGAATGGATCAGGGGATACCACGTTCCCTCCACCGCTTCCTCCGCCGCCGCCTATCATCGACGGCAGCACTTGACAATCTCCAAACATCCTCGCTTTATGTAAATATCCAAACGAAACTATACTAATTCTCTCTTTCACATCATAGTAGAAAATTAGCAGAAAAAAATTGCAGAGAAAGCCTGATGAGATCTTCCCGAAGAAGACTGAGGAGAAGAGTGAAGAGGAAGAAGATATGGGGAGTAAATACGGTGGACTGTTTCTCGCTGGCGAGGGGGGGAGAGCGCACTTTTTTTGTCCTATTTTCTTCTTGGGGCTCGATCCCTCTTCAGCTCTCCAGCCCCTATAATTCAATTCCCATATCTCACCTCAATACTTCGTTCCGGTTTTATCCTCGCTCTCCTATGCACTGTATTCGATTTTATTGACTTAGCAGTGGGGGTATTTACGAACTTTAACATTAATGCCCTGACGTAACGCCACGTGTCCGAAACGTCAATGGAGGAGTCGGCGGAGTCCTGGGTGCGTTTCGAGTTGAAAATCGGGCCTTCTAAAGTCAAAACCTGGTCGATAATTTCCACGAAGAAAAATCTGGGCCCACAGATCAGACGGTTCGGGTGTGACTGATCTGACTCCCAATGAAAAGATCCGACGGTCAAAATTGGAGTACGTTTCGCGATGCCGTTTCCACGAGAAAGCATAAGTTTTGGTCAACGGCAAAGCGGTCAACTTGCGAGGAAATATTATTAAATCTTTTTAGTTATTTTAATAAGCACTTTAATTAATTAATATATATCTGGATTTAATTAATAAAGTTTAATCCAGTTTATACTATTTGAAGGCCGACTGGATTAAGGAAGACGAAATTAATAGTTATTATTATTAATAACAAATTTTAGTTTATAAGATAACAATCATGTATTATTTTTAATTGCAGTCTACTGTCTCATTTATTTCACAAAAGCAAACCAAATAAAAGTGAATTGCTTTGACTAAAACACAAAGTATGTAATTTAAAATTTGAGTGACATGGATAATGGATGCAAATGTGAATGTTCAGTTAATTGAATCAAGTTATACATGTAAACTATTTTTGAATTTTGTTCAACTTAAAAATTATTTTTAAAAAATTGGATCTAAAAAAAGCTTATTTGGTTGATTTATTCAGTTGATAAATTTACTTTATTTTTTGTTTTATTTGGTTAGGTTATGAACTATATACTATTTGGTTAATTGGGATTTATTTGTTATTTGATTTTGTTTACTTAGTTTAATAAATTTTCAATCGATTTAGGGTTTAGGGTTGTTTGCATAACCTTAATCCCAACTCCTCAGTGCTAGTTTTTGAACTACAAAATACATCTCAATGTCTCATTACATCAATGTTTCCTCAGTGCTAGTTAAGAAGCAATATGGTTACTTCCATCGAACTGACTCAAAGAATCGTCTCCTTCATCACTTCACTCTTCACTTTTCTCTTCTATCTCCAATTTTTACCACAAACGACCATCTCCAACTTTAGATTTTAGCTTTTACCTTTATGTGTATCCAACCTATTCCTCCTTGGTCCTCCAACTCTGTCAGAGCCATGTGCTACTCCATTGCTCCAACCTTCATGGCAGCAACTTCCTTGTCGCCAACTTCCTATGCTACTTCAACGATCTCTCCATTTTCCTCATATCATTAATCCTCTTTGATTTCCCTCTAATTTTCCCTCCATGCCTCTTCTCCCAACTCCCTTCTCTAGCATGTCTTCATCTACTCTTGATCTAATTTCCTTTCCCAAACTTTTGTCAATGTTGACTCTCCCCTCCAATATAATATTCTCAAGTGAAGCTAATCCCCAACGTTGATTTAACCTATCCCCTTCACATCATGCTCAAGACTGAAACTCTTCATTTTCATCACTCTATCTTATTTCAGTAACTTATAATATGAACCCACTGCTTATTTTTCTCTCCTATTTTCTCTCCTTTCTTCAAGTCTATCCAGCCTTTATCATCCAATCCATACGGGAGCCATGTCCATCGGTGGTTTTGATAGTCATCTTGTCCTTCTCAATGCTCTCATTGTCATAACAACCATCTAAGCCACAACCACCAAGTGTTCAATGAAATGCCTATTACATATATGCTATCTTGGTTTTCACTAGTTGTAATGCATAATAGAAATGGAGATATGAATTATGTTGTTGGACTATGCCTTGTTGTAAACGTGAAAGATCGTGACTATTGAAACATAGAATCTAATTAAGAATTTTAAAGATATAACATGGCTTTTATTTCTAACGAATAGAATTCACATTTTTTTTTTTGCAATTTAAATTACAAATATTTAGTACCTCCCATATCATCAAACATCACTTACTAGACCTTGAGGGTAAGATCATTTTGAAGGAATAGACAATAATAATAATATCATATAGTGAGATTATTAGTCTTCTATTATGTTAATAAAAGTAGTTAGCTAGTTAAAAGTTTAAAATATTAAATGAGTATTTTTTGTACTTTTAAAAAATAGCTTTCATTTAAAGACATTAAACAAAATAAAAATCGAGGCATGCTTCTCATTTAAAATGTGTATTACTTATTTATTTCTCTCCCTCCCACTTCTTAGAATTATCTACATTTTTAAATTATCATTCATCATGATCCTACTACAGGATGTATCACTTTGTCCTACAACAAAAGTTCACACTTTGTGAAAATTGTTGCAAAAAGAATCCACCCTGGATTCTTAAGGAAATCACTACCTTTTATTTGAGAGCCAGAGAGCATGACCCCTCCATACCATCAAATAGAGCCCATGAGCCAGGATCAGAGCACTTTAATGCCATATTCAAGTCATTATAGTGTTGGAACCAACATTCAAAACCGCTTAAAAACAACCATTTTTCTGAGCCATCAGAAAGTAGTTACCAAAGCCCTGGAGCCATGGCACCAGACTATGCACTTAAGAGCTAAGGTCGCGACACCTAGGCTCCTGTACACTTCCAGGAGACGAAATATCCCAAATTTTGAGTCGTTTTGACCTCAGCACACCTGTTTAGGCAGCCAAAATTGCAAGATTTCTTGGGATTAGAGCAGTTTTTCTTAGAGAGGGGATAAACCAGATAATTATACCTCTTTCGGAGGCTCCTAAGGTGAGTTGGCAAGGCCACTTTTGACAAATTTGGGGGGAAATTTGGGAGCGGCTGGTTTAAGTTCTCTTTTCCCCTATCTCCTCATTTTAACACTTTTGGGCCTCCTCCAAGAGCTGAACTCTTTTTCTTCCATGGAGCTAGGGTTTCTTCTTGCAGGCCTCGAGGTGGAGAGCTTGAAAATAATGTGAGAGCGACAAAATCTACTTCCTCTTTTTCTTCCACAAGAAACTCTTCTCCCCCTCGCCTCCTTTTTTTTCTTCCACCACCATTTCATTTAAGTGTAAGAGGAGAGCTTTTTTAGGAGAAAGAGCTTGGCTAGCAAGGAAGTAAATTTTCTTCTCTCCTACACCACAACAGAGCTTCATCCAAGCTTGGGGAAGGATCACTAGAGCGCCGCTAGAACATTGTTGGAGCTCGAAAATTTTTCAAAATCTAGTCGAGCTCTCCTTCTAAAGGATAGCTTATTCATTCTTTGGAAAATGAGTGGATCGGGGGTCGTCGAAGCTTCGTCGGAACATCGCCATCTCTCCTACCACTAGGAGAGCTTCATTCTAAGTGAAGAAACGCGACATCAAATGTCATTTTGGTGAGATTCTCTAAAAATAAATTTTCTTAATTAGCCAGCCCTAGGATTATATTTTGGCTAGGTGTTGTATGTTCGGTCACCCACACGAGGTGAGTTGGTCGGCCGACACTAGTTGGCATTGTCACACGCCTTTGAATTGATCATTGATTTACTGGAGGAATCCCTAGATTAGAAAGCTTTCATTCGGCACATCCCATGCGAAGATGAGTGGTGTTGTAATAAGCCTTAGATCTACACCTAAGTGGGTCGAACGAACTCTTCACCTAGGAGCCACACTCATATTCAAACTAATTGTGGTATAGTAGAGTTGTAATTCACTAGTGATTCCAAATGCTCACTAAATCTAAAGTATTCTAAGGTGGGGAGTAGGTCTAGGGGGGTCTCGTCTGAAAATGTCAAGGATGGTGCAACTATCAATCTCTTTTTTTTTCTCCTCAGAGATTCATTTCCTTGCAATTAATATGGGGATGTGAAGGAAGAGAGGTTCTGGTAGAAGGCATCCAATAAGAAGAGGTATGCAATGCCTTCCTATTGGAAAGGGAAAAAAAGGAAATGCGGTAGAACACTCGTTTGACTTCAATATCATTTTAAAAAGACACTATCCTGCACTCCAAAGCCTCAACTATTCAAGGTTGAAGAATGGAAAAAACTTTGTAGCTAGTCTATTCTACAAGATCATGGGAGGATTGCTGAATGAAAAAACTTTGTAGCTAGTTTGCCTTAAGAATAGTGAAGGACTTCTCCTACGAGAAATTAGAGGGTGAAGTCATCCACATTTCCTCGCCAAAGCCGGAGGCGGCTATGCCGCAAATCCAAGAGCTAAAACCCCAGGTGCCAATGTGAGATCATTAGCAAAAGTATGGCTTGATATTATTTGTGATCACTTGCATCATATCATGTTGCATTTCACACATTTCACTTTGGTCCAACCAGCTGCCCCAACCCGATCAACATTACATTTTACCTCGATCGGCCACTTTTGTTTGTTCATCATTACATTTTTCCTCGACCGGCCACCACAGTTCGGTCAGCATTTCACTTTGGTGTGACCGGCTGCCGCGACCTGGTCGATCAACCACTTTGGTCCTACCGGATGCCTCGGCTCGGTTTACCAATCTCTTCGATCCAGTCGGCCACCTTAGGCTGATTGAGCTCGTTGGCCACATTGCCCCAGGTTGATCACCCTGGTTGACTTAATGGGTTGAATAGTCAATTTCACTTGCATAATGTGTGTTTTACAAGTGAATTATTATTGATTGCATAACTTTGCACTAACACATTCTTGTCGTGTATCTTTGTGCATATGCCCTCATATGCTCACAACGAGTACTCGTGCCTCCCAATGACACATTACTCCACATTTGCTTCATGACATCTTCATGTCACTTAGGACCATATTATAACTGGTTCACACTTACTCTTGTGCACTTCTACAAGTTTATCTTGCATGGCATGTTTCATGTTCATGAATTGTATACGTGAGTTTGTTTGCATTTAGTTTTGTGTTTCTCACACACTTATCCCTCGCATTCACAAATTATGTGAATGAGTGGCTGGTCACTGTGTCAATTAGTTG